GTTGCCCCTCTTCCAGGCCAGCTCTCTGCTGTGGCCCGGGAGTGCAGTGGAGGATGGCCCAAGTGCTTGGGCCCTGCACCCCATGGGAGACCAGCAGAAGTACCTGGCTCCTGCCATCGGATCAGCGCGGTGCGCCAGCCACAGCGCGCCGGCCACGGTAGCCATTGGAGGGTGAACCAACGGCAAAGGAAGACCTTTCTCTCTGTCTCTCTCTCTCACTGTCCACTCTGCCTGTCAAAAAAAAAAAAAAAAAAAAAAAAAAAAAGACTAGCTGGAGGCTCAGATGATCATTAGCAACTTAAAAAAAATGAACAGGAGGGAAATATTCCATGTCTTGTTGGGGCAGTGGTCACACGTGTGCAGGCATTTCTCAAAACTCACAAAACAACATTCTTGAAATCTGCACATTTTGTTTAATGTAAATTACACCCGTAAGCGGATTACAGTTAATACTTCTGAGAGTCCCCCTGCGGCCCCAACCTGTCTTGTGAGTAGTGTTCAGCTCTGGCTGACAGCTGCTTGATCCCCAATGATGTTTTCTCAGAGCCTTGTCCAGGCTCCAACATCAACTCCTCCCGACACAGGGCAGCTGTCACCATTAGTGATTGGTCAATGGGATGCCTTCCCCAGAGGCCTTGAGGAATTTCCAGCAACGCCCGGCTGAGCTCTGACTCCATCACAGATCATTTCTGGGCGGCCGTTGGCAGAAAGGAAGTCGCGTTCTCCCAGCCTCCCTCTCCCACAGATGTGGAGCTTCCCTGCCTGTGCCCTGCTTCCTGTCTCATCTTCTCTGAGACTCTTCAGGGATTTCATCTCCTAGGAGAAGACGCGCCCCTTTCCCAGCCTGCCAGGAATAGTATCCGGGGAGTCAGCAAGGAGCCCGATGGGGAAACCCCAGTGGAGAAGGACCGGGTTGCCTGGATGTCTCCTGCATGGGAGGAGAGGTCACGGCCACACTTGCCCCACGGGGAGGATCTGAACGAGCTGACGTTTCCTTGTTTTCATGCCTCCCCCAGTCTTCCTCTTTCTGGCCACTCTCACAGTCGGTCTCCCAACTTAGGCCAGGGGACCTCTGAGCCCTTTAGCCCAGCTGTGCGAAATTAGCGTCTCCAAAGTACCCTTTCTAATTCAGAACAAGGAAGACCAGGAGGCCTTAGACACAGTCCAGTGGTCCCAGGGATGGACAGAGATGGAGAGTTGGAGGACCCCTTTCTGGGTGCATTCATTCCCTCATTCATTGATTCCACAAACCATTTTGGGCACCCAGTGTTTACTGAGCACCAACCACGTGTCCAATCTTATGCCTTGTGTGTTAGATAAACATATGAACCAGCCATCAAAGGTGTCTGCATTCGCAGAGCGAACATCCGTAGCTACTGAGTGCTTCCTGTGTGCTGGGCATGTGTTAGGCTGCTGGGAACAGGAGATTAAAAAGACTGATACGGTCCCTGCTCTCAAAGGAAGACAGAGGTTGACTGCTTCTACTCTAAAAATCCAAACTCCAAAACTCTTTGTGTGCTGATTGATGCCACATGTGGTAGGTGCCAGTCAAAACACAGGTGCACTAATGATAGTGCATAAAATCGCCTTGAGGCTATGTATATATGAAACATACATGAATTTTACATTTAGACTTGCGCCCCATTGCCAATATATCTCATTATCAATATGCAGATATTCAAAAATCAAAAAAATAATCAGAAACATGAAACACTTCTGGTCCCAAGAATTTTGCATCAGGGAAACCCAGCCTATACGGGTGATCAAATAATCACCCTTCCCCATCACCTCTAAGAAAATCTGCCAGAGCTGGACGACAGGCCCAGAACACGGGAGCCCAGCTCCAGCAGGAGGCTGGCAAGCCTGAGTCTGTGGGTCTTCACTTTCCCCTGAGCCAACGCCATGTACTCCTGGCACAGGTGGGGAGACAGGGGCTCAGAGCGGCACAACACCTTGGTTAGGATCACACAGTGAATCAGGGACAAGGTCTTAAGAGTGCAAGTCCCTGGGCTGCCGAGGCAGAGAGCGGAGGGGCTCTGCCCAGGGTTGAAGGCTGCGTATGTCAAGTAAGCAAAGACAGAATGGCCAACTTGGCCAGCGGAGGACAGGGCCAGGCTGCTGGGCCACTGGCCTGGGCGAGAGCGTGGAGGTGAGGGACTGGGCAGCAGAAGAGCCTGGCTCCCGGCGAGCCCCAGGGGCAGTCAGGGAACAACAATGACAATAGCTGCAAATGGGGCTTTTTTGTTGTTGTTGTTTTGTTTTTAAAGATTTATTGATTTATTTGAAAGTCAGAGTTACACAGAGAGAGGAGAGGCAGAGAGAGAGAGAGAGGTCTTTCATTCCCTGGTTCACTCTCCAATTGGCTGCAACAGCGGGAGCTGCGCCAATTCAAAGCCAGGAGCCAGGAGCTTCTTCGGGGCCTCCCACGTGGGTGCAGGGGCCCAAGGACTTGGCCCATCCTCTACTGCTTTCCCAGGCCACAGCAGAGAGCTGGATCAGAAATAGAGCAGCCGGGACTAGAACATAGGTTACTGAAAATCACAGAGGCCCCTGGTTCGCCCAAGATCACAGCGGGAGCAGACTGCATTCAGGCTCTGACCTCAGGTCATCTCATCACGTGTCCACCTCCTAGCTGCGGTCGCATCTGCACGCTTCTTGCTTCTAGCTGCATCCCCAGGTCTAGCACAGTGCTGGGCTCACAGCAGGCATTCTAAGGGACTGAGTAAGCAAGGCAGGCGGAAGTGTTGGAGGCTGGCTGGGGACATTCGCTTGGATTTCAGCAGCCGGATCGAGTTGAGAAGGGTGTGGCTCTGCAGAACGGGCTCCAGGACGTGTCCCGGGGTAGCTGCCTGACAGGTGACCGGACAAGGCCCTTCCTCTCAGAGTCCAGTCATACTCCTCTGAGAAGTGGTTGGTTTGGCCTAGATGATCTTCAAGACCCCCTCTAGGGCTACCATACCATGGTTTCAGGGTTTAGAACCAAATACAACAGGTTGGGGTGGCTCTGAGTTACTAATACGAAACGTTTTCTGGCCTGGAGGATACTTTTTTTAAAAGATTGGTTTATTTATTTGAAAGTTACAGGGTAGAGGGAGGTCTTCCATCTGCTAGTTCACAGCCTAGATGGCTGCAATGGCCAGGGCTGGGCCAGGCCAAAACCAGAAGTGCCATCCAGGTCTCCCACATGGGTGGCAGGCACCCAAACACTTGGTCCATCTTCTGCTGCTTTTCCCAGGCCATTAGTAGGGATCTCCTGGCTCGTGGCTTCAGCCTGGCCCAGCCCCAGCCATTATGTCCACTGGAGAAGTAAACCATTAGATGGAAGATCTCTTTTCTCTCTCTCTCTCTCTCCCTCTCTCTCTCTCTTTCTCCCCCTTTTCCTCCTCTCTGTAACTCTGCCTTTCAAATAAATAATCTTAAAAATAAAAAAAGTACAAGTACCATGGAGGAGGACACTCAAGTCAGTGGTCCCATGAGCCATTCGAAGTAGGACAAAGACCAACACTGTGAGGTCAGATCTGGTTTGAGGGGAGGGCAGATACAGAGCAGCGGGAACCCACCTGGCTGCCCAGCCCCGACCCCAAGTTGCTAACAACTTTGGCCCTGGCCCGCTGTGGTTCTGCAGCCCTTGGCCAGTCTGGCCCAGGCCTCGTGGGCAGTGGTGCACACCCACACTCCGTGAATGGCTGAGGCCACTGCCCACCCAATCCTGTCGGCCGTGGACTCTGAGAGGCCCGCCATTGCACTTGCCCGTGAAGTGTGGAATAGCTGTGGATTCATACAGACGATGAAATGGAGCAGACACCCAGACGAGGGGAATCCCAGGCAGCCCTTACGAGGAAGAAAGCAGGGCACGGCAGAGCTCTTCACACCAAGCCTGGCCGAGCGGAAAGGCTGTAGCAGAAGGCGATGGCTGAGGCCTTTCCCAACTGCAAGGGGCACCCTGCCCGCGGCCCTGCACACACACTCCCCTTACAAAACTGCACGGCTTGAGCCTTTCAAGAATATCAGGTAGTTCCTGGAAATAACGATCAGAAACCGAGAACGCCAGCCAAGGTCACAAGGGGCCGGTGCCGTGGTGCAGCGGGTAAACCACTGTCCCATACGGGCAACGGTTCAAGTCTCAGTTGCTCCACTTCGCATCCAGCTCTCTGCTGTGGCCTGGGAAAGCAGTGGAAGATGGCCCAAGTCCACATGGGAGACCTGGAAGAAGCTCCTGGCTTCGGATCAGTGCAGCTCCGGCCATTATAGCTGATTGGGGAGTGAACCAACAGATGGAAGACCCCTCTCTCTCTCTTTCTCTCTCTCTATCTCTCCTTCTATCTCTGTGTAACTCTGACTTTCAAATAAATAAATAAATCTTGAAAAAAAAATGGCCACGAACCGAACTCATCTGGCTAGGGTTCCATCCGTGGACTCCCAATACCATCACCATCATAAGTCATGTTCTCCCAAGACCCAGAACCCCAAGAGGAAAGCACAGAATGAGCCATGCATTTATAAACACTCGTGTTCATGCGTCCTTTGTCCCAGGCTCTGCTCTCGGAATGTCGAATGGGTTACCTCATTTCATCCCAACACAGTGGCAAAGGGAGCACCATCATCTCCGTTTCACAGATGAGAACACAGAGCACTTTTGACAGAGGCACAGAGAATTAAGAAACTTGCCAAAGGTCACACAGCTAAGTGGCATGGCTGGGGTTTGAACAGGTAGCCTGGCTCCCCCATCTGTGCTCTTAACAGCTGCACTGCTGTCACGCTACAGGATACCTTCCAAGGAGTGGAGAAAAGGGTACTGGCTCCTGTGGCCCCCCAAAAAGACCCAGAAGAACGGGTCTCGTAGTAGGAAGGAGGGTGGACACAGGGCAGGCATCAAACAACAAAGCGCCCTCTGCAGGCGGATGTGGGTCCCGCAAGGAGAAGTACGTGGAATGTGCCGCACACAGAGCCTCCCATGAATTCAGTCCCACGACCCTGCGAGGCTGGCGCTGTTCACTCACCTCATTTCCTGGACGAGGAAGCAGACAACTTGCCCAGCTTATTTGGCAAAGCAGCAGCACACCTGCCAGCAGGCTGACTGCACAGCCCCACACTAGCGGCCTCTCTCTGCGCAGGAAGCGCCTGGGAGGAATCACGGGGAGCCGTTGTTCCGTGGTTACCTCCGGGGAGCGGCATTAGGGGAGCCAGGGGTTTTCACTTGATACCCTAGGTGCTATTTAAGTTTTATTTTAACGATGAGGCTGGATGGCTTTTACGATTTAAAAATATTTTTACTATAAAGGCTTTATGTACAAGATTTAAAAGAAAAAAAACCTCTGTGTGTGGAGCCAGCCCCAAGTGGGAGGAAGCGGAGAGCTCAGGAGCCACGGGCAGCTTCCGCCCTGCCCTCCAGGAACTCTGCCCAGGCCAGGGGCTTGGGGAGGGTCTGTGGGGGCTGGGGCTGAAACGAGGAGGACAGGTTGCCTCCACCCTTCCACAGTCGCTCTCGGCCTTGGGCGTGTGTCACAGCACCTGGAAGGCTCGTGGAAGCCGAGGGCTGGGCCCCGGCGGAGTTCTGGAGCGGCGGGTGGAGGAGGGAGCCGGGAATGTGTGTTTCCAGCAAGTCCCCAGGCGAGGCGGCTGCTGCTGGCCCTGGGCCGCACTCAGGACAGCTCTACCCTTCTCTCACGCGCAGCCCTGAACGGTTTCCAGAACACTGGTGCGGGTCTCATCCGATCCCCTCCCACATCCCCGGGAGAGAAGGGACAGGCAAGGGAGGGGCACCGTGCCCACGTGGTTGCCAAGGGAAATGAGGGGACAACTTGAGCAGCGCGGCGGTGACGCACCAGTGCGGCCCCCCCCCCGGCACCTCCCAGCGTTCTGCCGCCCCCACCGCTGCCCCCGCCCCCGCTCCCCTGCCCCCGCCCCTGCTTCACCCCAGCATCCAGCCTGTTCCCAGGCCAAGTCCCTGCAATCGCACTCCCTCCCTGGCTCCTCCTCGGCTTGCTGGCCTCCGTTCAACCAGCAGGGGGCCTCCCTGACCACCCCGTGTAAAGTAATCGCCTCCTCCCCCCCGTGGCCACTCCCACAAGGGGCTATTGTAAAGTTAATTAATGAAAATAAAATTAAGGTCCAGCTCCTGGATCTCAGCTGCCACAGCGCCACTGATCAATGAGCGCACGTTGGCTACTGTCCTGGACGGGGTGACGGGAGGCAGGGCTGCCGCTGGGGGCCGCAAGCCCTTGCTGCCCTCGCTCCCGCCCTCGCTGCAGGCCATGACTCGGGCATGTTCCCAAGCACAAGGCTCAGCTCTGGAAGGGAACCCCTGCCAGCCACTGCGAGGGCGCCGTCCTTTAACCCAGTTTCTGGGGACACCAAGAGGGCTGAAACACGGCGTTCCCTCGGGAGACCTGGGCTCCAGGCTCTTCCAAAAGGCAAGTGCCCTGTGCCTGGTCTTACCGGACTCTGCAAACCATGCGACCTGGGTGCTTGCCTGGTCACCAGGAGCCCCCGGCCAGCGTCTGTGCTCCGGCCGGGCCCCTGACTCAGGCTCTTTGGCAGTGTTGCCCCCCCCCACTTCCTGTTCTTGGGCTAATGAGTTCCTGGTATTGACCTGGTGAGCCTATCGGAAGTCTTCTCCTAGCCTTTCAAGTAGAACAGGCTAAGCAAGGGCCAGCTCCCTCGTGTGGGACAGGACTCTGCCCAGCCACCCTACAGGAGACGGGGATTGGAAAACGAGTGAGAGGAGGCGGGAGGGTGAGCTAGGAAACCATTATTGTCAGGACCAACACACACCTGATAAGTGGCAGGGCTGGGCGTGTGTGTGTGTGTGTGCGCGCGAGAGCACACGCGCGAAGGGAGGAGACGGTCTTAAGGAAAGGGAAGGCTTCTTGGTCCTAGGAGCTCTGGGACCCAGATCCAAAACCAGAGCTCTGGACGCCATCCAGTGGCCAGCAGGGAGATTGCAGGAGAAGAGAGGTGACGGCACCCGAGAAGGCAGTGCTGGCCAGTGCCGGGCGGGGCAGGGGAGGAGGGCAGGAGCCTGGCCCTTGCCCTCAGCGCCCCATCCATTAACACCCTGTTCCAGTGTTGACCTCCCCAGGTTTCTGCCTGATCCAACTGGCATTTTCTCAGTGTGAGATCTTGGCCAGGTAACTCTACCCTCCAGGTCTCAGTTTCCCTAAATGTAAAAGGAAGGGGTTGGGCAAGGTGAAGTCACTTGCCAGGTGCTGCTTGTGGGACTTTAGCTTATCTGATTCTCAGGTGCAGGGAAAGGCTGGGTCACACACATGCACCTGTAGACTCCACTCCACCTGTGCAAATCCCAGCCCCCGTCCCAGGTCACCTCCTCCAGCATTTCTCCCTCCCAGCCTGCCCCTTGCTCTGCCTTCCCAGGCGAAGCCCCCTCTTTCTGCTTCAGTTACAGTCCACGGGCTCCAGCCCCTCCAGCTCAGAGCTCCCTCTGCTCAAGGGATTTCTTCCTCTTCACTGCCTCGCAAGGCGCACAGCCACTCTTAACAGCTCTGAAGCCGGCTGCCTTCAAACCCATGCCTCCCCCCCCCCCGCCCCGCCCAGAGGTCCATGCCCTAAGCCCTGCACCTGTGAGCCTATCGCCTTCGTGGATGCTGTGGGATAGAAAGCTTTAGGTGAGGAGATCTTTCATGGCAATATGGTTATCCCTAGACAGACCCACGGGCACGCCGACGAGACAGAGGTGAGAGGGTCACAGTCGGAGAAGGGCAGAAGTGACTTGGGGCTGTGGCCAAGGAACTCAGGCAGCGCCGCGAGGCTGGGGAAGGGCTGGAAGCTGAAGCCCGCGGGAGGAATGGGCCACGCCGGATCCTAGACCTCTGGACTCCAGAACTGCATGGTAACAAACGCGGGTCATGGCGCGTCGTGACGACAGCCATGGGATCAGCACACCCGCCCAGCGTCTCACCACTCACACTGGTTTGGGAAACCTACTCAAACTTCTCCGTGCCTCAGTTTCCCTGAATAACTGCAGATGATAAAGTGGTTAATCCTCACCTTCCAGGATTGTTGTGAGGATCAAATGAAAATGTCCACGGATCAGGTAGGGGAGTCCCAAGACTATGTTAGCTGTCGCCATCGCCATAAGAATAACTGACAGCTACAACCAGCTGGGGGCTGTATTAGGTCCAAGGCAGCCTCAAAGTCTCAAACGCCTTGCAAGAATTTCAGCGGGGGGGAGGGGGGACGCTATGGTGTAGCGGGTAAAGCCAGCACCTGCAGTGCCTGCATCCCATAAGGGCATTGGTTCAAGACCCAGCTGCTCCACTTCCAATCCAGCTCTCTGCTGTGGCCTGGGAAAGCAGTGGAGGATGGCCCAAGTCCCTGGGCTCCTGCACCCGCGTGGGAGACCTGGAAGAAGCTCCTGGCTCCTGGCTTTGGATTGTCCCAGACATTTGTGGCCATGTGGGGAGTGAACTGGGATGGAAGGCTCTCCCTCTCCCTCTCCCCTCCTGTCTGTAACTCTACCTATCAAATAAAATAATTTTTTAAAAAATTTCTTCAATTCTCCCCATCACCTGGGGTGGTTACAGTTTCCCCCTCCATTCTGCAGGTGAGGAAGCAAAGCCAGGTGACTGGCCCAAGCCCCTCTAGCGCGGGAAATACTCTCAGCTTGGCAGTGGCCTGCGTGCACCTGGGAAGTTTACGCTGCGCTCTTTGCAGCCAGAGGTGTTTGCTGGTGGTGCCATCCAGGGGTGGGGCGTGGGGAGGCAGAGCGAGGGCCACAGGCTGGGCAGACGGAGGCCTGGCAGGGCCAGGCATCGTAGCGGATTCCCTTCTTCCCACCGAGGGCAGGCGAGAAAGAAAATCCAGGCGAAATTCACCTCTTCGCCCCCCGCCATTGCCTCCACTTGGAGGCTCAGTTCCTGCTTCCCACCTCCTCACCGCCCAGTTCCAGCAGCTGCGGAGCCAGGTTTGGGGGCGCCCCGAGATGCGCGAAGTCAGAAAGCCAAGTGTTCAGGGTCCCGGGGGCCGCAGGCGCGCTCAGTCCCCAGGGGTTCCCTCCGAGCCCCCTC